TTCCTTACAACAAAGGACTCGCCTTCACCACTACCTGGGATATCGACACCTACGTCTCGTATCCACACGGTCAGGGTATTGCGGCTGCAGCACAAGACCGAGGTGCCGCGGGCAACCTGAACCTTCATACCAAGTACATCACCGATGCTTACGAGACGGCGTACTTCCAGTATGGTGTTCCCTACATCTACCAGATCAGTGGATTCCGAACGGCTCCAGATGGAAACCCGTTCATCGACTTCGGTAGCCACACTGTCAGCCACTCGCCCAACGCGGCGGGCTTTGACTACGGCACGCTTCAGGAACGGTTCATCGAAGGAACTGATGCCGGTTATTACCCGGTCATTCACCAGTGCGGTCCCAATGCTGACGGCACACCCACGAATGGAGAGGTCTGCACTAAGGGAGGCACTAGTGGGCTCTCTTTCTACACATCAGGTGCTTCCGCATCTGGAGAGGTCCGTGTGAGTGCTTGGTTGATCCGACACATACTTCACGATGAGTTCAAGACTGGCTACAACATGACCACCTATCGTCCGGGTAATCTTGCGTGGAGCAAGTATCAGGCCACGCATTGCGTCGCCAACGGCATCATTGGTGGCTCTTCATGCGCAGGCAATTCGCACCTGACCCACCTTCCTTTCCAGGTTACACACAACCGCGAGTCATTTCAGGAGCTTCCGTACTACGAGTTCCCACTCCAGTGGTCTGACGGTGACGGCAATATGAGCAGCGCGGACTTCCCAGGCTCAGACTTTGCGAATCAGATCAAGTACATTGAGAAGATGGCACGATATGGCGGACACTACAACATCTTGATTCATCCTTCCGACGCCCTGTTCGATAAGATCCAGATCCAGCGCGCACTCCACGATAGGGTGCGTCCTTATGCAGTCTTCTTCAACCAGACAGGCATGGCCAACTGGTGGACCAACCGAGATCGCGCGATTGTAGACATCACCGCAGCGGACAACTCATCTGCGGTGATGACAGTCCGCTTGGACGGTCGCACTGAGGGACTCACCCTGCAGGTCCCACGAAACTACGCTATACAGTCTGCCTCAGGCTCTCTCTCGGTCTGCCAGCAACCCTCCTACGACAAGACCACGAACGCGGTCGTACTGCGAAACACGGCGAAGGGACTTTACACCCTCAACTTCGCTGTTGGGGCCAGCAACGCAACCGCCTCTACATGCCCTGACTTTACGCCAAAGCCGATTGGAGATACGGAGTGCATAGCATGGGACGTGATGATTGACGACTTCCTCGAACTCTACTTCGGCAGCAACAACGTCAATCTGCTCTTGTTGCAGACGGCTGCGACCGGACTTTCGTCAAACAACGTGGATGGTACCTTGCAGCTTACCGCGACCACAAACAGCGGCGTCAACTCGTACTACACTGAGATCTCACGCTTCTGCTTCGATGCCACCGTCTACACCCATTTGTACTTTGACATGGTCGCTCCTTTAGGAAGTACCTTCTACGTGCAGCTCGTTTCGTACGACACTGGATGCAACTTCGAGCAGCCAAGTGCAACATACTTGGACGTTACCAGATACGCCCCTGCCGATGGCTCGAACCATACTGTCACCATACCACTAGCCGACTTCAAGGGACAAGAGATGAAGCACGTCCGCGGAATACGCATCGGAAACATCTCGCCAGCACAGACACCTATCTACATCGACAATCTCAAGATCCAGAAGCGATGTGTAACAGCACCAGGAGAGGACCGTACCCCAGGCCTTGCCATCGAGTCATTCCAGAATGTTGATCGGTGGATCACTGGTATCAACAACATCTTTGGTCAGACCGACTACAACAACTCGATGACGTTCGCGAAGCTTTCCGAGCTAGGAAGAATGCAGTTGCTGCCGTCGAGCGCAGACTCGTTCTTCTACACGGATACCATGGTCGATGGAGCTACCTTGAATGCTACTGCTTACACTGGTGTCTCTTTGAATGCGCGCGGCCCATCCGGTGGCTCTTTCGATGTGGTAATTAGCTCAGGTGATGGCAAGACTACCACTGTCAACACCAGGTCTTACGCCACCCTAGGCCAGGATAACTTCTCCAACATCACCATTCCCCTCACGGCATTCTCGGGTATCAACACCGACTCGGTCAGCCGCATCACACTACGCAACTTCACGCCCAACGGTGGTTCTTCTGCCAGCAACTTCACCATGAGATGGATCTCTCTTCTTGGCGGACCTTCTACCATCGGCGCCGGCCCACGTTGCCCAGCACCGACTGGCTTTGTTGTGCTGAACTTTTGCGACCCGAATGAGTTCAAGACGCAGACCAATGCTTTGGGTGCGGCTATCTCTGACGACCGAACGATGCAGTCCTACAAGCAGACTAGCCGCGGATACGTCGACCTCGTACCCAAAGACGCGACATCTTACTTCTACTCGCTGCTCGCAAAGCCGTCTGAATGCAGAGCGGTGAACAGCTCTTACAACGCGATCATCCTCACTGTCTCAGGCCCGCAAGACGCGACCGCGAATATCGGTTTCAGATACGGCACTGATGGTTGCAGCACCAACGTAGTCACGTCTTACGTTCCGATCACCTTCAACGCCGCATCGACACAGCTTACGATACCGTTCTCTCGCTTCCCAGCTACCTTCAACCAGGAATACCTTCAGTCATTCGTTATGACCAACTTCAACTCCCCTGGCTCGACGTATCGCGTCCACTCTTTGGTCTTCACAGGACCGGCGGATAGCCCTGGTTGCGCGCTCTGCTCAGGTACTATTCTGAATACTTGCACATTCGTGCCTGAAGTCCCGCGGGTCAACCGACTCCTCGGTCAAATGACCGACGAAGGATCTCTCGCTTCGTATTCAGTCGATAGCGACGGCTCGCTCGTCTTGGGATCTACAAGTGGCTCATACTGGTACTCCCAGTTCGACAACAGCGGATGCTACAATGCGAACACCTTGAACGCGACGGGCATCCAGCTCTCCGTTGCCGCTCCCGCAGGAACCACATTCCGCGTCACGATGCGCTGGAAGACAGACGAGGAATGCACTACACTCTCGCCCCCCTCCTCCGTCCCCATAACTTCCTTCGTCACATTCACCAGCGCCGACGCATACCAAGTCGCACAGATCCCCTTTGCCGACTTCTCCGGCATGAACACCAGCAGGCTCGACAGCGTCGCACTCTCGGCGTTCAACCCCTCTGACGTCGACGTCAAAGTCGGCTGTATCAGTTTGATCAACATCGCAGCCACGCCCTCCCTTCAAACATGCAACTGTCCCGACGACGCATGGCTGAACTACTGCACGCCTGGCGTCGCAAACCGCAACAACCACGGCTACGTCCAAAGCGACGACGGCACCATGGAAGTCGCACCCGTCGTCACTGACGGCGCTTTAGTCCTCCAACCCAGCGTATCAGGCTCATACTGGTACTCGCTGCAGAACTGCGCCGACGTCTCCGCGTCCCAGTACCTCGTTCTCAACGTCACGGCGAGTGCGGGCGCAAGCTTCAACGTGCAGTTGCAGAGCGGCGGCTTTGGCTGCGATGGCCAGACTGCGATACAGCGTCTTAGTGTTGCGACGGCGGCGTATGGCAGTATGAATGGGAGTCCGGTTGTGCTGAGGATCCCGCTGAGCGATTACACGAAGATGAATAATGGCGCTTTCTCGTTGGAGAAGATTGATGCTGTTGCGTTGGAGGGTTTCAGTGCGGAGACGTCGCGGTATTTGATTCATTGTGCGTACTTTAGTAGTGGGGGTGTGAATGGGACGGTGGTGGGGAATGGTACTGCGGCGTAGATGTAGTTGTTGATAGAGATTAATCGTATTGTTTACTTCATCACATCGTTGGAATGCTACCTACACTCTGAAGCAACAAGAGATCTACCAAGTCATACACGTCAGTTCGGCTGCCGTCGTACAGCTGTGTCCAGCAGGGGTACCTGTGTCCTTGCATGTCAAGTGGTTGAAGCTGCATACGCTTCGCGATAGGCCCGAGACGCATCGTTTTCCCAATAAAGTGACGTCACCGTTCATTAACACTCTCTCCCCTACCCTTAGTGTGTTCTAATTAGTGTTGAGTCGCTCTGCTGGATGTCCTGACCGTCGCTCTCTGCGTGATTTCCTCGTTGACCATAACTTGGGCGTAGATACCTAGGTATTTGATGTGGCGTCATCATCGGATCGCGTAACCAATCAAGCTCTTGATGTTCGATGGATGTGGGCTGCGCGCTCAGATGTACGTGCACGCGGCGGCCAGAGCAAGAGAGACCCACCCGAACAGCCTAAGGCACAGGGTACTGTTGTCCCTCTTCACTGCGCGCTTGCTGCCATGTAGTCTCAAAATCACTTCTTGGCACAGCTGTACAGAATGCATTCAATGCAGTCTTGTAGATCAACCTACATCGCCGTCTGACATGGAGACTTGGGCCGCCTTAATTACACATGTTTGTGTGTCGTGTAGAGTATATGCGGAGGTACATGGCTGCGCGTGTGCGGCAGCCGAGATAGAACTTGCTGACGGGGTAGGGTGGACTCAAGGCTACCTACTGCACTTTGAACACGATACGGGACACGAACTCGTGAACGCTGAGCAGTCTCATCTACCTGAGTACAGTACATTCGATATTGTCCCACGCACCCTCGTGTCGGGCTCTGGAGGAAGGTGGCTTCTACTCCAGTCGGGTGAGTACCTAGATATGTTTACGTCCGGGCATGTAACATTATCCTTTGCCGATGACGCCTGCAGCATGCAGCCGCCTATTGCTCTACAGGATTGCAGCCGCCAAGCGCTGCAGTGCAAGCGCCATCGCTCTCATTGGAGACGATATCCACAATTATCGGTGTCGAGGACGAATATTGCACGTGGCGCGTCTACCGGTGAGCACACGTGCGGCAGCCTCTCTACCCCTCAGGTTCTTCATTCCGGGGTCGTGTCCTCGTCGAGCGAGATCGCGACTGATATCCGACATCGCTCATCATTCAGAGACCTGATACAGAGTCGCTAACATGGATGAATTTCCTCCATGTCAGGTCGCCCTCGACTACCTAGAAATAAACGAGGTGCGCCCAATTAGAGAATGTTATCCTTCTGGTAGTGCCTCGTTCTATATACCTTCCCGGAAGATCAAGGCACTATTCGAAGACGAGCCTTATGGCTTGACAACAGAACGGCTATACCTCTGCCCTTGCTCGCGATGCACTCGGGACGGCGGATCAAGAGAGTACCGTTCGGACTGCTTTAAGGAGCGTCGAAAACAACAGGAACTGAGGGGAGACTACGCCCTTATTTATGCACTTCTCATCAGTATCCGTCGCCCAGGGCTTATTCACATGTTTCAGAAGTACGAGCTAAAGCTCGACGGGACTAGGTACTTTCGCGACGCGGACTTTGACGACCTCCGTCATCGAGAGACGGTCTTGGACTTGGAGACAGTACAAAGGAAGATACTGGAACAGCAGTATAACTTTCTTGTACGGACACTTCGACCAGCGCCGGACGTCGTATTTATCCCAACAAAAGAATTGCTGCCCATCAAAGAGGATACGGAGCTCAAGGGAGAAGGAACATTAGCAGAAGTCAGATGTTTCGAATTCCAAGACGACGACTATCGGTCGGAGGACTTTGGACCAGTAAGACCCCCTACAGGATGTTTGTGCTTGTATTCTAAACTTTGCAGCATATCAAAAGGTTCGCTCGCAAGATCTTCAGGCATGGTATGGGCAAAGCCGTCGCGAAAGAATGGTACAATCTCCAGAGGCTTTCGAAGGAGGAAAACCACCCGCACCTCATGGTGGCTTTGGGCGCGTATTGGCATGGTAGTCACTTCTTCATCTTGCAGGAAGAAGCTGACGGATCACTTCACGACTACCTTAAGGGACCAGGAGACGTATTCGACTTCCGGGAGCTCTGGGCGCAGATGCAAGGCGTTGTTGAAGGGCTCAACACTCTCCACAAACTTTACAAAGGGACCAGAATCGAGTACCACCAGAATCTGAAACCCGCAAACATTCTGATAGTGAAGGGAACGATGAAGATTGCAGATTTCGGCTTGATAGAATTAAAGGCGGCAACGTTGGCAGCTGACGCAGACCCGACCGATGTTCCGAACGAGCACAACACTGGCTACTATGCCGCCCCTCGTCGAGGCGGATACACCCGAGAATGCGATATATGGTCACTTGGATGCATAATGTCTGAGGTCGCAACTTGTGACATCCAAGGTCGGGACGGAGTTAGCCACTACAAGAAGGCTCGCATGGCTGATGGGCCATCTGGCAAAGACACTCCGCGCTTCTCCTATGGGCGAAAGGTCAAGGATGCAGTTATATTCATGCATAAGCAGCTCTATGCTTCTGTTCAATCATCAACGCCGACTGACGGAAACCCAACAAGACAATTACAGAAAAGATTCTACAACGAACGTTTCTTCGACCTCTTGAACAAGATGTTCTGGTGGGGTCGTGCGTCCGCCGACTTGCCAGAAGTCTCAGATAAGGGTATCGGCCTCGATGCGGCGCATGTTATCGAAACACTCCAGAAGTTACGCAAAGAGATTTTACCGTCTTTACCTTTGGAAACGCTGCCCTGCGAACTGGTGATTGGTGCACCGGTAGATTGGTCAGGTCGCGGCACATCGCATGTTGACTACAAGATAGATGAAAGAGTGCCATTGGTAGAAGGTCGCTTTCTTGGACATGGAGTACACGGCGGGGTTTACGAAACGGAGATAGGAAGCAATGGGATTCGACTAGCATGGAAGCGCAAATACGCCCGACGCAAGATCGGACAGAGTGAACGTCGAGAGATCGAGATCATCAAACGGCTCAGTCATGCGCACATTATACGTCTCATAGGAACGTATACTCGTGGGCTAGTTCTCGGCCTTCTACTATGGCCTGTCGCTACTTGCGATCTCGCAACACTCTTGGTAGACGCAGATTGGCTGCAGAAACGTACAACTGATGGAGACTGGGAAGACAGCGACGCCCTGGTATCGGTTTACTCCGAAGACTACGATCACGACCGAGAGCCAGCTTTCGTATCTCTAAGCCTTACGGGCAACGATGGTCAGCAAACATTGAAAAGCACGATAGCGTACCTCTGGAAGACAATCGGTTGTATAGCTAGTGCTGTCTCGTACTTGCACAGCTCTGGTATCAAACACAAGGACTTGAAACCCTCGAATGTAGTTCTGTCTGCCAACGGCCTTTGGGTAACTGACTTCGGCTCTGCAACCGACTATTCTATTCTGTCGTCAAGTCTTACAGACAATGGCGAGCGTGGGACACCAAAATACTTTAGCCCTGAGGTTGCAAGATGGGATCCGAGTCGTTCTGCTTCAGATATCTTCGCGATGGGTTGTGTCTTCTTCGAGATATTCACGTTGTGCATGGGCTATTCACTCGAAACCACACAGACGCTACGCGCAAGGGGAGATAGGTCGTTTCAGGCAAACCTCGACAGCATTACACATTGGTTCGATAATGACGAGGATCTGAGCCGAAGACCAGCGGATGAACACTTAATCGGCTTGATCCGGCATATGATGAAACCGGAGCCGAAGGATCGACCAAAAGCGTCTCAGGTAGAAGAGCAGATCGCTCTCATTGGCGAGATTGCAAAAGCTACAGGTGAATCGGAGTTCTCCCTGTATGTTGAGGGCTTGTCATGTTCCTGTTAGAACCAGATAGTCCTGGTGTAGTGGCGCATGCCGCGAAGATAGTCGACATAACGCATGGTATTTGCCACATACAAAGGCTAAGGATACGCTGGCATCGTGTGACGTATTCTATTGATGTCCGATACCTACAGTTGGTGGAAAGAGTTCGCCTCTGCGCAGTGAGTGCTGACCCATTGGCCCTTGTTTCTTGACTTCCTTCCAAAGTTATTACGGGTGTTGGAAGCTCCGCCTTGCGCTTTACTTTTGGTCGATGGGCTGGTTAACTGTCGGATGCTATCTTACGCAGCCTTACGCACCGCAGGATGGCGATGAGGCTGTCGGTAGCCGTGCGTACGGCACAGTACAAAGAGGATCCGCGGTGGCTGTACGTCCTGCCACTTTCCTGTCCCAAACTGCGCTCGCAAGCCCAAACAGATGAAGAGGACGCAAACTCCTCTTCTTTGAGTCTGATGCTGAATGGTTATTGGAACACTGCGAATCCGACCGTCGACGGCTCAAGGAACCCTTCCACGCTAGCTGCTTGCGCTAACCGAACATCATTAGCGTGCCAACTCCTAGCGATGACGAACGACAAGGGAACGCGACGCTCTCTCAACTACAACGGCACACATATCGCGATACCTGCACCAGATCCGGAAACCTGTATCGTTCCTCTCGAAGCATCAAGCGAACATTCACGTGATCGCGACTCCGACACACGACGCCGCAATGTTGGAGGTACCGCCCCTATCTGCAGCTACGACGCCCACGCCGGTGGAGGCTTGCCAACCCCCAACGTAGCAGCCGAAGACACCTTTGGATACGCACGAGCCCGACAATTCACTCCGATAGTTACGGTCATCGATGGCGTCGAAGGCACACGGCACAACGATCCGCAAGCCGCGCAACTCGACGCGTTCTCCTACGTATACCGAACCAGCGCAACTGTTTGCACTCGCTGTGAACTCACCGCCTACCTAATTGCTTGTAAGAAGCTGCGATGATGGACCTAAAGGCAAAGACTATGAACTCCGCTGGTTCATCGGCTATGCAGAGGGCTACGGCTACCTTGTACTGGAATCGGGAGGAGGGTCGATGCCCCCAATCGATGAGCTGGATGACAATCGCGTCGCCGCTCTTCCTACTGCGATCCGGACAGCTCGGATAAGCAGAGTAGTGTGGAGCCGTTTGAAGCTGAACGCGGCATCGCATAGCGAAACGCTGACGAGGCCTGGTTCTTCATCGGATGCTGAGCCACTTCGATCTTCGCGCACTACTCGGAGCGAAACATCTTTGCGAACGCAGTGTGAACGCGAGGAGACCTCATCGCGTCTTTAGCAGCAATGGAACGGTTGGTTATAATTACCTCATTAGACGCAGCCATTCCTTACATATCGGTTGGCTGTTCGACTTTACGCCCTGCGCCTTACTTGTCTTCACGTCAACGAAGGATTAGGCGAGGTTGTCATGACTGTCGCAAGGCGTCGTTGACAGGAGCATATTTTCCACCAATACTTGAGTGCTTATTCGGTGCCACATATGTCGCTTAGCCATAGACCGTTCCAGAATCAGCCCTTGTCGATATCCCGAGGCACAGTAAGGGCGCTCACGTCGGAACGGGAGCTGTACGTATCGATTCAACATCTGTAATCAACTTCTGTCACACTCTGCATACAGCTCCGCTAGATACCCCACGGGGCCACGTTAGCGCCCGTAATTGGAGACTGAAGACCTGACGCGGGTCTGCGCATCGACAGTCCCTCGCCGCATCCTCTCTCATCTGGACAAGCACAATTCATCCGGCAATTGTAGCGTTAGTGCATCGCATGTTCAGACTACACACCAGTCGCCGGAAGCTTTACATCGAAGCTACCTGGTCCATCATTAGCTGATGCGTTCACACTAAAATTCTTGTAGGATTCACATGCGGCACGCTTGACCGCCTTCACAACATGCAGGGCTCTGGTACCTTTATCATTATGCTCGCCGCATCCTCATCAGTGGCGCACTGTCCGAGCTGCAAGCAATGCAAGCCACGGTCGACATGAGTCACTGTATACTGAGCTTGGCACGTCCGCAGATGCTTCGATTGTTCAAAGCTCATGTGTCTGCTACGTTCCAGCAGCGTCATATTCGCGACCTCTGACCATAATTAAAGCTATGTTAGACTGTAGCTAATTCTTGCTCTCATCACAACATACCCTTTCTCCTCATTATTTGTCGTCCGCCATGTATCGAGGTGGCACGACTATCCAAGACCCCGAAGGTCTCATCCCTCCCTCCGTTAAGCATGGATCAGAACAGAATGCAGTGCTCAACGATAAAGCCATGCAACATGGCTCCTCCCAGATCAAGCTCAACCCTGAAGAGCAACCGTTCAGCTGGCCCGCCCGAAAGAAATGGACGGCGACGATGGTCATCGTCTTCATGACTGCGAACATCACTCTCTGCTCAAGTGTGCACGCCGCTGCAATCCCAGGCGTCACCGAAACATTCGCATGTTCCCCGACCGTCGCAACGTTAGGAGTAACGACATTCCTCGTCGGCTTTGCCTCTGGCCCAATGTTGTTCGCGCCGCTCTCAGAAGCACTGGGAAGAGAGATTGTCTTCCGCATTACCATGCTTCTCTTCTTTTGCTTCAACATCGGCTGTGCGCTATCGCCTAATCTTGCCGCTCTTCTGACATTTCGGTTCTTCAGTGGTTTCTTTGGATCACCCGTTGTGACTAACAGCGGCGGATGCTTGGCAGACATCTGGCCCCAAAGCCATCGTTCGGTTCCATTCGCACTGTTCACGACGGGCAGTTCCCTCGGTCCAGTCCTAGGGCCAGTGGCAGGAGGGTTCATCTCGCAGCACCTGAATTGGAGATGGCTCTATTGGGTTGTGACCATCATTGCCGCGATCGTGTATACTGCGATGCTCTTCTTCCTTCCCGAGACATACACGACGACACTTCTGCTACGGAAGTTGGCCAAGGCCGGTATAAAGCCCCCACGCCAATCTTTCAAGGAGCAATATTCTACCAACCTGACCCGACCCTGGCTGATGCTCTTCACGGAGCCCATCCTATTCGTCCTAGGCCTTTACTCAGCGTTCGTCTGGGGTATACTGTATCTGGACTTCACCGCCTACCCAGTAGTCTTCCGGCAGACGCGTCATTGGAGCGAGGGCATCGCAGGTCTATCCTTCCTTGGTATCGGACTCGGCATGGCGATCGCAACGGCGAGCTCACCATGGATTAACGACATCCACAGCATATGGGTCAAGAAGCTTGGAGGACCAAAGCCAGAAGCACGTCTGCCACATCTCATCATCATAGCGTGGTTCATTCCCGTGGCACTCTTCTGGTTCGGATGGACGGCGAATCCGCCGACGCACTGGGTCGTATGCATTCTCTCTGGCATACCCTTTGGCATTGGCTTTGTCACGCTGTTCTTGGGAACCAACGCATATCTAACCGACTGCTACGGGCGCTTCTCCGCAAGTGCACTCGCTGCTAATGCGGTGATGCGGTCTTTGTTCACGGCTGGTTTCCCGCTGTTTGCGCGGCAGATGTATGTTCAGATGGGGACGCCGTGGGCTAGCAGTACGCTGGGATTTGTCGCCTTGCTTATGGCGCCCGTGCCGTGGCTGTTCTTTCGGTTCGGTCCGAGGATTAGAGCGAGGTCAAAGTTTCATCTCTGGACTGTAGATTTGGAGGAGGCTGAGAAGGAAAGGGCATCCAGCGTTGACGTGTAGTTCATTTCATGTCTACTAAATCGAACGATTCGTCACTGCAGTGTCTGGAATGCATGCATGGTTAAGCCTCATGGATAGGAGCAGCCTCAGGCGCGTTGTGATAGGATCGTATGTACCTGAATGCCATGATAAACCTAGTCATATTGACATGTTCGGGTCGTCACATTGCTACTTATGTCCGATCTGATGCGATACGCAAATGACATCGTTTTCTCTCTGAGCTAACTTATACAACGTAGCGACAGTGTACCCACTCCACACAATAATATCGGTCTTCCTAAGCTCACTGAACGAATAGCATGTCACCGACATTTCAACCAGTCTCTGCCCTGCTGGTTCCAACCGTCATACTCTCATCGAGGCCCTTCATTCCTACTTAAGGTATGTTAGCCTCTTCCAGAGAACATGAGTTTAACTTCCTGGGTATTACTTACTGGAAAGGCGACATCGCGAATCTAGGGACTGCCACCCCCTGGCCTACGAACTCCTCGGGCTTCGGTAATCCCAAGCGGAGCGGGAGCTCTCTCTGCAACTGCGCGTCCACTGCTATGTCCGCCTGGCCCACGAACTGCGCGGGCTTCGGTGATCGCAAGCGGAACGGGAGCTCTCTCCTTAACTCCCGATCCGCCACTGTGTCCCCCTGGGCATACCCTTCCAGGCTCAGCATCTCGGGTAGTTAGAAAGCCGCCTCCACGGAATCGTTCTTTGGGATCAGCATCCCGAGAGGCTAGATCGCGGCCTCCACCAAAACGCTTCTGGGGATCAGCGTCTCGGACAGCTAGACGGCAGCCGCCGCCAGGGCCGACGCGTTGAGGCTCTGCGTCTCGGATGGCTAGACGACAACCGCCGTCAGGGACACCGCGCTGAGGCTCTGCGACCGGAGCGGCGGCTGCCAAAGTGACAAGGATGGTGAGTAGAAAAGCTTGTAGCTGCATGATTGATAGTATAAGTATGGAGTGAAGAGCTGTTGTAGTTGTACTCGGTGGTTGTGTGCTACATGAAATGGAAGATTGCGCTGCTCTTTATACATGCGCTGGTCGACAATTTGACGGAGAACACCGTCGTTCTGTCTGATGTGAGAAACTTGGCTTGCTCGTATAACTGTTCGTAGGATCCACAATCGATGAGGTGCTTGATGCTGTCGATGGTTGAGTGGTTACTCTGTGAAGCCGGGCAACGGGCGTATAAGAGTGTGACCATTGTCTGACACCTATCAAGATCTGACTTGCTCTGGATTTCATAATCCAACATGAGAGCCCATATTTACCTCCTCAGGTACCTTAGTGTCATGCTTTGATAGGTTTTTGTGTCAGTCCAACATTCTTAGCTTTGACGAGGAGGGACTTCAGTCATCACCACATACACATCAGCCTGACCTTGGCATCGTTCAGTATTTGGAGGACATTCAGTTGTTGAACAGTGGAGTTTACTCTTGAGGAGAGACTGGAGTTGATGCCTAAGCAGAGCCCACAACGCGGTCTAGTCAACGCAGTATACAGTGAAGGGGCTATATTCAGCCCGTTATACGACAGCGGAGTTTACATGACCTAAGAGGTCACGACGCACGTGGGGGTACGGGCAACCCGCTAAGAGACCAGTGGAGTGATCGGGCGTAGTAAGCACTCGTAAACGGACCAGTAGGTATTCCATCAACTGTCAGCCTTCACGACTTCCTTGTGAGCTTCTCTGGAATTTCGAGATCTTGATCTCTACCCGCCATCTTCCGCATCGAAGCGGTATCGGACAGCTCGACCATGGTCCAGCGAGTCACGTGCCTGCAGTTGCCTGTGGGTCCGACCTTGGAAATGCCATGATACACGAAACTATCGCCTGATGCCTTTTTCGCATTAAAGCAATCGCTTCAAGGCCGACATTAGAAGGGATAAGATACCCAGCATCGCGAATCTACTTTCTATTCATTCAGCCTGCAGTTTGCACTCCGGCCAGAATGACGAGCATCCTCGATATCCCAGGCACTACCCCGCCAAACCGCTTCTCATCTCTCATTCAAGAAGCTCTGACATCAAGAGGCTACTCTTTGCTCTTCGGTTATTCAGTGGAAAAAATCATCGACGCTATCACCGCAAGCCACGATGCCAATCAAGCGATCTGGGAACTCTGGGACGCCTTCTTCATCAACGTCGTGTCGTGTTCGCCTGCATACGACTCTCATCTTGCTCTACTGGACGCCATTCGCGCGCAACCGCCCTCGAAGCCCAAAGTACTACGGTTGTGTCGGGAAGCTAAGCGCGATGGTCAACTACACTGGTCGGAGTTACCTGGCTTTGATATGTACTGGGGAGATGCGCATTCTATCCTCCTAGGACGACGCAACTGGAATGGTATACGCGATCCAGGCACCGAAGAAGATCCATTTGGCAGCACGATGAGGATTAGACCCGACCAGCTATACCTCCGCATGTGCATCTTTTCAGCGACACTGATGAAACATGGTCGACAGACAGGTCTGGGCTATCCTATGACGGTGTTTTACGCGTGTCGACACGCACTCGAACGAGTACACGAAGCACCTCCGGAGCTTGAATCCAACACGCACAGCTTACCACTCGAGCAAGTACGGGCGCTGGATATTCGGGTCGCGGCGATATGGCTACGGGACGGAGGCTGGGCGCTCTGGAATGCTGATCACGAGGAGCTACGAGAGCACTTTGCGGTGCCTCTGGATGACGAGACAGAGCTGTGGCCGAGTCAGGATGGATTGACTCCAGAGCGGTGGGCTTTGTGGGAGAAGAGACTGTGGGCTCTGAGTACATACGGGCATGGCTTTGACGAAGAGACGAGGGCCTTGGTCAAAGAAGCGTTTGAAGTGGTTGAGGAGATCCTCAACGTTGGAGAGTGATGTTGGCTTCACGGAATCTACCTATTTGCAAGAAGATTCAGGAGTGTAGGGCTTAGTACTGTGTTTGAGGTTATTGTCCTAGGTACCCAGGTAGTCGATAGTCCTAAATTCTACATCATCAAGCACAATGGCATTACACTCTTAAGATCTTCTTACGCCAGCTCAAGCTCAATCAACGAGTCAAGACTATGCGGATGCCGCCAAACCCCCGTCATCTTCAGCCCCGCGCCTTCATACATCCTGCGATGCTCCTCTTCCGTCCGATGTCTTGCCCCCAGACTAGCCATGAGCTCCCAGTCCAAACATGCTACGACGCATTAGCAACCCATCACACTATCGAGCAATGAGAATGGAGAACTTACTCTGCACCCAATGCGCACCCTGATCCGGCACGACGAAATCGTTAACAAGAACCTTGGAATACCCCTTCGTCATAGCCGGCACAATCGCTTTCAGAATCTGGGAGTTGACATCGTCGTTCCAGTCCTGAATGATGGAATGCAGATAATACGCCCTCGCGCCCTTGACAGGCTGCTCCGTCATAAAGTCATGCGGCATAGCCTGCGCACCATGCCCAAGCCTCGCAAGCTCAACGATCTCAGGCCTATCCTGCAACACCAGCCCACCCGGTAACCGTCCCTCAAACGCCTCCCTCAACCCCTCAACATCATGTCCAGACCCACCCCCAACATCAACGAGGAAAGGTTTGTCCTTCTCCGCTCCACTAATCAACCTCTCTTGCACCGGATAGTAATCACTCGCAAACCACCTCGGCCGCCCCTTACTCCAACTCCCCATCATGCTAGCAAACCGCCTCCCCATTTCCGGATTCTGCTGAAAATACTCAAAGTAATGGCTCCCCTTACAATTATACGTATGTTGGAACGGCGCATCAAGCCCGCTATCAGGACACTTCCAATCCCTCTGTTCGAAATATGATTTCATAGAGTGATGCACGGGTTGAAAGTCTTCTGCAATGTACGAAATAGAGTCTTGGTATGCTTGCTCGGCGAAAGCACTGGAGGTGGGTGTGTTGGCGAAAGTATCAGGACCTGTTTCGCGTACTGTGCCCATGGCGGCGAGGTGCCGCAGCATGCGTGCGACGATGACGGGGTCGACGTTTTTGTCGCATTTCTTTGCGATTTCCAGGCTGCTGGCTCCGGAGTCTGGGGTGGTGCGCATGGCTTGGAAGAGCTTTACTTCGACGGCCATCCAGAGGGTGGAGAGGTGGGCGGGTTGCGCCCAGAGTAGTTGCAGCATGTTTTCGGATGGGTGGCTGACTTCTGCGATGAGGCCACGGCATGCATCCAGTAACCCTTCTCTTGCGCCGCTTTCGCCGTTCTTGAAGCCATTGCTTAGTTGCGCGATGTTGTCGAGGAGGGAGAGAGCTGCTTTACTCGGAGTTAGATCGGCGGCCATGATTAGGTTTGGGGAAATTGAGGATCGCGATGATTGGGAGAGGGGAATACCAGCCTTGCGTTCTGCTTGTCGCGACGAATTGTCGGGATGCTAGTTCAGTCGCACTACACGTGTGCCCCTCATCGTTCGGACGAACCTGTGCCGAAGTGTTGGCAGGTGGCACCCGCGAAGCGTGGTGGCGAGGCGGCGGGCTGCATGATGGCCCAAGTCCAGAACCCCAAATCCTGGACGTTTTCCACGTTGTGCCCACGTTTGTGATCCTTCCATCATTGCGTCAGCCACTCCACCAGCTAGCCCTATCCTGAGCCCCAGTGTGACAAAGGGATTGCCTGTTTCGCCATAGAATCGTTTGTAATCATGTCGCACCAACAAGACGTCGAGGCACAGAATCCACCTGCCACTGCACCAACCGAGACTGCGCATCATTCTGCAGCGGTCGATTCGGGGATTGACGCTGGCTCGTCGTCTGAATTCGATCAAGAGAATAATGGGGAGCATGCACTTGAAGCGCAAGATGACACGAGTGAAGCATCGACAGATGAAGGGTATGCTGCCGGATCTCTATAAAGTCACGTGCTCAAGCAATTCATCGGACAATCCATTAACCAGCGCATCAGCTACGCCGACTCCGACACACCCTCCTTCCTCTCCTCCATCCTCTCCTCCGTGCGCCGCGGCGTAGAAATAGAAGGCCGCCTGTACCCCACCTACGGCAAACACGACTACGGGATGCCCATCGACGAGACAGAACTCGATCGAATCGACCTCCAACACCATAAATACACCCTCTTACTCCGAGACCGTCTTTACGCAGCACCAATCCCCGACTCTACTTTCTGCGACGCAAATTCACGCATCTTGGATCTAGGGACGGGAACAGGGATATGGGCAATCGACATGGCGGACAAATACCCCAATGCCGAAGTCCTAGGCGTAGACATAGCAGCCACACAACCATCCTTCGTCCCCCCAAACTGCAGTTTTGAAATCGACGACGTAGAAGAAGAATGGGCATACCGACCCTCCCACTTCGATTTTATACACGGCCGCGACCTCATGACCGCTGTACGGGATTGGCCGCGCCTAATATCCCAAGCCTACACACACCTAAAACCAGGCGGCTGGATCCAACTCGCGAGTACGATACCCGGCGGGCTGTCGGATGATGGTACCATTCCGCCTAATTCAGGATATCTGGAATCAGCACGTGTGTATTTTGAAATCGCGGAGAGGATGGGTGCGCCGCTCGACGCACCGCGGTCGTGGTCGAAGCAAATGAAAGACGCAGGCTTCGTTAACGTGACCGACGAAGTGTACAAGTTACCCATGGGCCCGTGGCCGCGGAGTAAGAGACTGAGGACGATAGGGAAGTTGGAGCAGATTATGATCTTAGAAGGAGGGTTTGAGGCGTATATGCTAAGGGGGTATACGCAGGTGTTGGGGGGTCGGGCGGAGGATTTGCAGATTATATTGGCTTTGGCGAAGAGGGAGGTGAGGGATCCGAGGGTGCATACGTACGTTCAGTTTCATGTTACGTGGGCGCAGAAACCGCCTGTGTAATGGGAAAGAATGCAAAGTCAACATCAAGGTCTAGTGAGATGAGCAGTGACTATGACTCAAAGACAGAATCCCGACGTGCGGCAAGGCATTTGCGCACAAGAACAAACACCGCGGGAACCGTCATCACCAAAGACAAAGGCAGGGACTCAATGATTGAGACATCGTAATATCGGGGTATCATTTGAATCATAAACTAACTATCTTCTTGACCTTACGTGGTCTTTTGCCGCTTTTTCGCCTTCGAGAGCGCCGATGTTATGGCAGCGAGCTCTTTCTCAACCTCCTCCTCGTCTTCGCTTTCCGCGTCGACGTCGGCGGCTTCGTCATCGTCGGCAGCCTCAAGTGTGGTGCCACCTTCTTCGTCGTCATCCGACACCTCTTCCTCATCATCGTCCTCGCCATCCATTTGTAGGCCGTCTTCGTCGCTGAAACCACTAAAGTCAGAGTCGTAATCGGACTCGTCTTGTTTGGCGCCAGCCTTTCCAGCGACACTACCGGTAGCCTCGCTTTCGCCGCCTCGTTTCCGCTTCTTGCTCATCTCACCGAGCTTGCCTTCACGCTTCGCGTTGATGGGTCCGCTCGCTGATTCTTCGCCCTCCTTGTATGGTGGTGGGGTGAACCAAGGCAGCTTTCCTCTTATCCAGTCGTTCAAGACCATTTTCGCAGCGCCATCAATATCAGCTTCACCGCCCTTCAACAGACGACCGCTCTTGCGGCACAAGTTTTCCAGAAAAGCGACAGCATCGCCTTTGTAGTCTGAGTCCTTGATATCGTACGTTCGCTGGAGATGCCTCGGTTGTACCCGCTTCAGAACCTCTTCGATGTATTGTGCTGGGTACTCGACGTTTTCGACACGTACACTACCGCGAAGCAGCAGATCCTGATCGGTGTCGTTCTGGTTTGGTGGTACAATACCGGGACAGTCGATCATGTAGATGCGCTTCATCAGGGTAATGTATTGCCAGACCTTGGTTTCGCCAGCGATGGGCGCGACGACGCACACCTTCTTCTTTCGCAGAGTGTTGATGATGGACGATTTACCGGTGTTCGGGTAGCCAACCATACCCACAGAGACCTGTTTACGGTCGCTGTGGAGAGAGCTGAACTGGCGGAGAAGGGCGATCAAAGAACCCTTACCGAAACTGTTGTTGATGGAGGCGTGGAAAGCAAGTGTCGGGAACTCTTTGCTGAGATGACGAACCCATGCAGCCTGTCAAGTGTCAGTGCGTGGTCATCAACTTGACATGATAATGTGCGTCGATGATGGAATGTGCGAAATATTACTAAGAGTACCGCCATAAAGCTGCTAGTGCAGAGACGGTCCTCAACTCAAACAAATCACGCGTGACTCTATTGATCGGCAACCAAGACGGTTACCAATCGACCCGCGATCAAGACGATCTTAGGCCAGCGAGCCACTTTTGCTCTTCCCAACTTGTAACAGAACCGTATTCATGGAATAGGAAAAGGTCCTTGACTTAAGGAGGGTGCATGTGGTGTAGGGGGTGGAGAGGGGGTGTGAACTTACAGCAACCTTGGAAGGAACAAGATCGACCTTGTTGAGCACAAAGACGAGGTGCTTGTGAGGCGCCTCGGTGCGGATGTATTTTTCGACGGAGCGGCAACGAGTGCCATCAGGATCGCGGGCGTCTAGGACGTGGAGAATGACATCGGAGGAATCAATGACCTGGGGCATGTTAGACATGGCTTGTGAGAGCTGATGGTTGTAAGCTTACCTTGTACAGCTCGTTCCAGATACGCTTCGACGTGCCCTTCATGAAGATGAACTCGCGCGCAGAGGTCAGCTCGCCGTTGGGGTTGTCGGCGAAGGACTCGTTCTGCTCTGCCTCGCCAGACGTGCCCGAGAGCAGCTTGGCGTTCTCGAGGCGCTCCACGTAGGTCTCGTGCATGCTTCCTGTGCGACCTGCCAGATCCTCAATGGAGCTGAAGTCGAGCTTCGGGCGCTTCCGTTGAGCCTTGGGGCCGAATGTCTCTGAGAAAGGCTGACTGCCGACGGCGATCTTGGCTGCGTGCTGCTTGAGGCCTGGAATTTGTCCTGGTGTCTCGATCAAGCTCATGGGCAGCTTGTTGCGCTTCATCAGGAACGTGGTCGGATCCGAGGACTGCGCCTCCACGGCCGAGCGGAAGCTGTCGAGGGCATCTTGCGATATCACTCGCGTATTGTTGAACCACTTCCTGTTGGGCTCGACACGGGCGACAGGCGCTGCGCGGTTCTGGTAGACGGCGGCCTTGGTGATGTCTCCCTTGGCATTTCGCTCGGCTGTACCACCTGTAAGGCGCTTGAGCAGCTTCACCTTCTTCGCATCACTGCGAAACTGTCAGTATACCTGTGCACAGAGACCCTGGCGCAAAAAGATTGCGCGACATACCGGTAGAAGTTGGCGCCCTTGGTCTTGACATTTCCCATGCCATCGCCCGTCTTGCCCTCGCGCTCCTTGCGGTTGTACTCTTTCTTCTGAACACCCATGGCGACTGCTTCCTGTGGTGTTGGCGGGTTGGGAAGAGTGAAGAGTAGAGTTCGCGAGGCATGGGCAACTTTTTTTGAGAGGCGGGAGCTAGCCAGAGTGGGGCCAAGGGGCTTGGCGCCGACAATTTCGAAGCAGGCGCGACGACACGACCGCCGCACCTCCGCATCGCCGCATCCAAGTGACCGAGGCAGGACCACCGCAATGCCGCCCAGGATACCCGTCCGACCCTCTGCCGCCGCCAATGGCTGGAGTAACAGCCTGTGTGTGCGTGCCTTCTCCTCCACACCATCTGCCCTCGCCCTCGGTCCGCAGTCGCCAAACTACATCGACGTGCCGAAGCCGCTGCAGCCCACGTACCCAGCCAAGCCCGCAGTAAAGGGCCACCTCCCCATCCCAAGAGACGTCTTCAAGACAAGGAATAAGCACCCAAAGGAGTCGGACATCTTCCTCGACCGGAGTACCAAGGAGCCCAAAGAAGTCAAGGCCCCCGGACCATACAGCCGGGATGTCGACTACCGGTTATACAAGCAGAGGCTGGCAGAGAAGCGGAGAGAGAACTTGAAGGAGGGTGTCAAGGCGCTGCATGAGCGGAAAGTTACATCAGAGGCCGAGTACATGGCCAAGATCCAGGCCATCGGTGCGAAAAGGCGAGAACTGGCTACGGCACCCCGTCGCGAAGTCGACATTTTGACGGAAACATCAGTCGCCAAGGGTATTCGCGACTTCCTCACTGACAGCCTGCCCCCGCGGCCCGACATCACAAAGGCCCGGAGCCGAGCATACCAGCGCCGAGTAGCCCGGATACAAGAAATCCGCGCCTCCCGCCTACACGATCTATACACCAATGCGCGCAAATTCATCGTGGACGAACAACAATTAGACGAGGCGATAGAGAAGGTCTTCGGATCTGACGAGCAGCCTGTCGCTTGGGACGCCAGAGGTGTCATGGGCCCACGAGAAGATGGCAGGAACGGTCTCAGCCCATGGGATGGACCGCTACCAGAGGGTGTCGGCGACATGCTCAACAAGCTCAAGGGTGGCGAGGGTGTTGGCCTTGCCAAAGAGCGCGTCAAGAAGGTGGCCGAGGAGCTTACTGGTGGTAAGATGTAAGCTCAGTACCGAGCTATGTATCATGTACTTCATGTGTATACCAATATTTTGGACGTCTCGATGATTTTTGGCACGCCTTCTCACTTTGATCAATCACCGTGGTCCACCTTTCACTCCGGACCTGGGCATGTGCCGCCAATAGCGGACAGCGAGCTAGACTGCTCAAGCGCTAGTGAGGTGAAGGAGACATAGCGGCCCGTTATCTTCCACCCAAGATTGTCATTTCGTGGCCTCTAACAAACGAACGAAATACATTCTAACCCACATGTCTTGGCCTAATCACCCCGAACGATCGCATTGGTAGTCTTCTGATTGCATCCACCGCCTTCGCACCGCCCGCCAGTGAAGCCTGACTTCTCTTGGTCAATCAGTTCGAGTACTCACCCGGGTCGTGACCGAAGCCCTACTTCAAGCGTTTGTCAAGGTTCCCGACTTTACCTCTGCGAAGGCGTTATCAGCGCTAGGCCGGCGAGCGTGATCCAAGGAACTATAATCTGCTCATATACACATATATCTACTTGTCCACATTCTCTCACAGAACCCCTTCACAAGATCCACTAACGCACTACCTGGGCGTCAAACCCACACCACCATTCACGACCATCGATTGCCCCAAGCTCACCACTCTCTCTCCACCCAGTCTCTACCTCGATCTCCTCGCCTATCATATCATGAAACTCCTCGCCCTTATCCTAGTCTTTCTATGCGCCATCCTCACTACCGCGACCCCCCTCGCCCTTCCCGACGACACCCCCGCCGACACCCAAGGCAGCAAGCCCAAACACGACCCCCTCACCCAAACCCCCGCCCACGAACGCCGCGGCGTCGCTTACAACGACGTCGCCTACAACAAGCTCTTCCAAGGCGACGGCACCCACGTCACCTGGCGCTTCAACTGGGACTCCTCGTCCGCCCTCTCACCTGCCTGGTTCCGCTTCATCCCCATGCTACATTCATTGCGCGACGATCATACAGGAAGGTGGAAAGACAATGCCGAGGCGATGGCGAGGAAGAATTTCGAGGATAATGGGTTTGCGACGTGGTTGATGGGGTTTAATGAGCCGGATAACTGCATGTAAGTCGGCTGTCTCTGATAAGCGTAGACAAGGGGGCGGTTGTTTGGAGTATGTGCTAATTCTGGTGACAGACCTGATGCAGGCGGTTCTTGCATCGACGTCCCCACCGCCGTTGCTGGTTGGAAAAAGCACATGGAACCGCTCTCCAACTTCAACAGCGCAATGTATCTCGGTTCACCCGCTGTCACCAATGCCGCAGCCTCCGACACCACAGGTCTGGGTTGGCTAGCCAAATTCATGGAAGCCTGCGACGGCTGTACCATTGACTTCATAAACATCCACTGGTACGTCACCCATCTCCTTCCCTCCACTCTCCCACTCCCCCCAACCAACACACCCACTCACCCACCCCCCACAGGTACAACTCCATCCCCAACTCCGCCCAAAACTTCAAAGACCACATCGCCAACGCGCGCAAAGTCGCCCGCGGCCTCCCCATCTGGGTCACCGAATTCCGCGCCGAAGGCACCGACGACGAGATCAGGAACTTTCTGGACGACGTCATGCCGTGGATGGATAACTCGCAGGATATCCACCGGTACGCGTATCTTATGGCGAGACCGGGCAAGGGTATGTTGGTTAACGATGCGGGCGATGGGTTGAGTGATATCGGGAAGGAGTTTGCGTTTTTTCATCAGCATGAGAGTGAGAAGGATGGGAAGGGGAAGAGTAATGGGAAGGGGTGGGATGGGGGGAGGTGGTGGGAGGAGGGGAAGTGAAGGTTGTATCTGGGAAGGGGGGATTTTGGGGACGTTGGGAGGGAGGTAGAGTTGTGCATCCAGACGAAGGGTTTGGAAGGCTTGGGATGGAGGGGCAGATCTCATTCACCATCTCTATTACCATCTCCATCATCTTATACATTTTCCCACATATCTTATTCCTCAACTCCCCGCCCTCCAACTCTGCCCAATCGCCCCCCTAAACCCCCCTTCAAACACATCAATCGTCTGATTCATATCCATCCCACTCGCAATCGCCAGCTGCAGCATAATCCGCGCCTGAATCGGATGCACAAACGCCGCCTTCGCAAACGACGGAGTCCTTGCCGGACTCGACGGCCCATGCGGACTTCTTGTCCCAACAACGACCTGAAGCCCTTTCTCCATCGCTTCGGCTATCTCGTCCCCGCCATTCGGTACGCCGCCGTTACCAGTACCGGCGATGACGACGCCATCCGCGCCGTTGGCGTGCGCGTCGAGTACGAGCTTGCCGTCGAACTCGCGGGCTGCGTAGAGGATGTCGACTTTGGGTAGGGTTGGGTATGTATGATATGCTGATACAGTGCTGATGTCGAAGTAGTACTTGTACAGCGGTTGACTTGGCGTGTTGAAGAAAACCGGTAAACTGTTGATAAAGATACCCAAATCACCCCCGGACGTAGAACCAAAAGCATCCGGGTTCGTGCTATGCAGTTTCGTTACCCAGTAACCGGGTATGATGCGTGCGTTGAACGCTACCATGAGTCCGCGGTTGCGTGACTCCGGACTCGCAGCTAGCATAACTGCGTCGAAGAAATTCGCTTCTCCGTCCCAGGAGAGGTGGGTGAACGGCCGCATACTCCCCGTCCCCACAATAGGTTTCCCGCAGTTAACAAGCGAGTCCATCAGAAACGCCGTTTCCTCGAGCGAATTCGTGCCGTGCGTGTATACCGCGCCGACAATGTCGCTATCTTCTGAACACAGCGCGTCGTGTGCGAAGCGCGTCATGTTCATGACTAAAGCGTCGTTTGTGCCCGTTGACCCATCTTCAGATGTCCAGTTGGACACGGCGAGTTGCGTGTTGTTGAGGAGGTAGGGGTTCCGGGCGATTATGTCTTCGCCGGTTTGGCTGAGTTGCCCGTATTGCGTGTCGTCAAGCGCGCCGTAGATGGAGCCGCCGGCTATGGTGCCGCCGGTGAAGAGGACGCTGGGGGTGTGTTAGGGGGGGTGGGGATGGGGATCTGGGATGTGGTGGGGTTGGGTAATGCGTACAGGACTTTGGGGAGGCTGCTGTTACCGCCTAGCCATGTTAGACCGAGTCGCTCGCTAGCGGTTGTTGCTTGACGTGGTTGGGATTGTGAAGCTGTGGGTGCGGTATTCCCGACCACGCTTAAAGATGCAGCGAGTGCGACGTTGATGAACCGCATAATGATTAACTGTCAGCAAACAAAACACCCAAAGTTCCACATCTTGTACCACCTGAACCTTTATATTCCAGCCCATCCCACTCTTGCCGTCGCCCAACTCCTCCGCTTACATCCGCGGGCAATTGGATCTGACATATCGCCGGTGACGAGCCGTGTTTCCTCAGGTAGCATCACGACATCGTGCATGTTACTGTCTTGGCAAGTATATATGAGGAAGGTGTGAAGCTTGTGCTGCGAGTAGTCATGAAGTTGTTATCGTTCCTGCGTTATCGTCGAGAGATGGGCGAAGCTAGGCTGTGTTGAGGGCTGGGCAAGGCCCCACATTTGCCGAGAGCGGGGTCGGTAACCAGAAACCTCGTTGCGCCCTCTCGTACTAACGAGAACGTCGAAAATTCTGGGGTCTGCTATTACCACGACCTGGACCGAGTAGAAGATGAAATTAGGGCGCTGCGAAGACTAGGTTACTTCGGCAGAAGAAGGATCAGTGGATGTCGCTAAGGAAAGCGGAGCTGTCAGTGTAGTGCATACGGAACACATGTCATCGCCAGATACGTCAAAGCCGCTCAGAGCTTCTGCGTCGATGGTTGCGCCCCCAGAAACCGCATCTGGAGTTGAACACCACCTTCCGTCAAACGACGTCATCTTGCCGAAAGCGACCGAAGATCGTGGGCATGAACTACCTGCAAGTATTAGACTTAGCGAGAGCTCTACTGCCACTTCGAATCAGACTTTCTCATCTAGTAGTGAGAAGCCGACCGCGACTACAACAACCGAGCAAGAGTATGCGATACATAGTAGGAATGATACCCCTCCAGATGTCTTCAAAAGTTTCATCAACGAGCTCGACGGAGGGAAAGGACACCTTTACATCTGGGAGGCTCTTGGTGGGCAGTTGTACATAACTATGCTCAACGCCACACAAGCAGAAGAGCTGCCCAAGAATCACGACCTCATCGAATATGTCTTTCGCAACACGATCGTGGAGGCTTTCGAGGATGATGAAGAATCTCAAGTGACGCAATCTGTACAAGCCGGAAACGAGGCTAACCCAGTAAGTGGTTCACCAATGTTGTCTCGTTTACTCACATAGTCAGGATGAACGCCCTGTCGCTCATGCATTCGATACTGTCGTCACACCGAATCTATTGACATTGGGCGAATTCGACTTGGAGCGGCATGGAAACGAGCATTCCTGAAACGGCGAACATGGAACAATGTAGGATGGCTGGATTAGGTCATTATTCAAACATGAAGAAGCACCATCACATGCTGCCAGGACTTTGATTGACAGTCGGTCGTCGGTGTATCATCACACTATGCGCTCAGATCTCGAAATGATTCGTATCCCATTGTTACTAGCAGAAATCATTAGAGAAACATTAGTATCGAGACCATTCGACGATGCAAAGGTACAAAGACCGTGGAATGTACCTGCATCATATTCTCCAGGGAGTTACCACCTCAGCGCCCCATCCCTTCTCGTCTTTTGTCATAAACTTAACTACAAATTCGATGGCCTTCTCCGTCAAGCAAACAGTGCCATTAATTCTTCTTTCGCTTCTGTTTCGGTTGTCAGTGCTTTGAAGGTGACATGGGGCGATGCCAAAGCCTTATGAAATATTTCCGCGGTGACCACAGCATTACATCCCGCCATCACCGACGTCTGGAGCCTCAAAGGATGCCACAGAACTATCAAAGACAGTACTGACACCTATCTGCAAGTGCTGAGTACATGGTAGACAGATATGAGGACTTTGGTCATGCCACTCGATTCGGTCCTTGGAGACGATACGAGGCTACGTGCAACTGATCGTGAGGACGAATGTTGCGCGCAAGCTTAACAGCATGGTTTGGCAGCATGTGCGTCAGATTGACGATGAACAGTTCAATTGGCTCGTCAGAAAAGGCACGACATCATCAATGACGATCCCCTCAGTTAGATCAAAGGCAAGGGTAGAGTGGTCTTCCGTGAAAGCTCTGGCGTCACCGTTGTCAATGTCTAACAAAAAGTCCGACCAACGCTTAAACCCTCGACGAGATGACCCCAGGACTCTTATCTCGACCTAATAGTGACTTAGGTGACGATATTCGAGCTGGAGACCTAGGCCGGCTTACATCCAATGATTAGGTCGACCCGTACGAACTACAGATGCGGGTCACACATACCTAGGTAGCTACCAGCTGATAGGTTGGCGAGACCAGGCGCACAGACTGCTCATGATCGCGGGTACCGACGTACGCGTGTACCTTGGTACCACCGGAATCGGAAACATTTCGCGCACGCAGAAGTATTCATGCAGCTAACAACATTTTCCATGCCAACAGCTTTCTCAGACACCAGCCTAATCGCCAACGTTCAACAATGTCCGACACACGCGATCTCGACATCACCAGGAATGTATGCGAATGGATCACAATCACCGCGCCAGAAAGCATACATCACGCAAGCTCACAGTCTAATCAACTCTGGCGTACTGTGCTTCATGCTTTCACTGATCTGAAAAGGTGTGACGGAGTCCAAGAGTGTGACTGGAGTCGAGTTTTAGAGCAGCCGTCTGAACTATACCTATGGATATCCTGGACCCACAAATCTGCCTACGATGCGCATGTCGACATGGACAGACATCGCCATCTCCATCAAAATCTGGCGCTGCTGTCATCCTCAGTAGTAAAAACAAAGATCATACAGTATGACATGCCCGGTTGCTACTCTGGAGGCGCCCGGTTAGCTCGATGCTGGCCGAGTGTCACTTTGATGCAGTTTCCGGGCAAGCTCACCGAGAAGCAACGCGATCAGATCGAGTCCAGTCCGAGCATGGCGATGTGCACTGAGAGACACAGCCCGTTTATTGATCAACGGAAACTTGGCGGCTTCGTGCTCCTCGAGAGTGATAGTCACGGCGAACTTGTTACGCTGGGACAGGACACATATGTCATACTCGACCGTTGGGAGAGTCCTGCCCGTGAAGAAGAAGTGGAAGGCATCGGTAAAACCAGAAAGCACAGGGCGCCGGCCCGTGATCGGTGTGATCGTGCTCAATCACCGCCTCCTCGTTTCGTCGACCAAATGAGGGCACTGGGTTGTAGCACGATCGAGACCAGGCACATGCGCTTCACCCTCATGCATGCCCCTACCGACCCGGACGAAGTAATAGAGTTAGTCGCAGAGGATATGGAGGCGAAAAGCTTCGAGTTTGACTGGGAAAAAGGCAGGAAAATGTGGAAGAAGAGAAAGAGAGCGAGATTGTCGCGCATGAGGTATGGGTGCAGGTGTGGTACTTTCACGACGGAAAGTGAAGCAGCTATAAAGAGGCAGATGCTGTTAGCTGAGGACAGGGATGTCGACGCTGAAAGAGGAGACAGGAGGAATGGTCTGCGAGCGAATGCGCAGTTGAAGCTGAGAAGGAGGGACTACAAAGGCATGTGTTGAAGCATCTGCCACTGTAGCGATATCGCTCACCAACGAGAGGCATGTGTAGCCTCGTTGGTACAACCATCGCACTAGAGTTACTTTCTTCGTCCGCAGTATCAATCGATTTGTGATGATCACAGCATCAAGCTAAGCTCAACCGGGCTTAGATCGTGTTTCACAACGGCGTCAACTTTGGAATCCCCGAGGTCCGACCGGAACAACACGTACTGCCGTTCCCTCACCTCATCTCTCACTCAACACCGCGCCTTCGTCACATCGTATCCCCGTCAAGTTGCGCAACAAGAGCTGTGCTACCTTTAGTCCGTCATTCATGCGAGCATTGGCATCGCCTTCTATTTGCTGCCTCGCCATTGAAGCTACTCACACGTCTGCAGCTACCTGTAGCTGGCCATCGCACGTTCTTCCCTTTGTCAGATCAGCAGGTATTGCTGCAGAAATTAATACAACGTCTGCCTATACATCGTCTACCTGTGTTTCGATTCCAGTACAGACATAGTGGAGCATTTGAGTGGCATCGCGCTCAATTGAGGCAGTTTCTAGTGCACTAGACCCAATTGGGCAACATACATCCGAGCACCCTGTTGGTGACGGCCTGGCAGTCTGACGAACGTACCCGGCTTCTATACGTATCGATTGCGTGAGGGTCAGGCACGATGCGGGGCATATCGACGTTGCCAACCATTCTCTTTCCTCTTCTCTCTACATCCACAGTCTTTGCTTCAGAACAACAGCCCTTCGAATTTGGCGCCATGTCTGCACCCCAATACACGCTTCCTCCGCTACCATATGCCTACGATGTTAGTATAGCCTGAGATGACTTTATTACCCCACGCACAGTATGCTCATAGTTCATAGGCATTGGAACCGCACATCTCCGCCCAGATCATGGAGCTGCATCACAGCAAGCACCATCAAACCTATATCACGAACTTGAACGGTCTTCTCAAGACCCAGGCCGAAGCTGTCTCTACCTCGGACATCACCTCGCAGGTCTCCATACAACAGGGAATCAAGTTCAACGCAGGCGGACATATCAATCACTCCCTCTTCTGGCAGAACCTCGCACCTGCAAGCTCGGATGAGGCCAAGAGCTCCGCTGCTCCTGAGCTGCTCAAGCAGATCAAGGCGACCTGGGGTGACGAGGACAAGTTCAAGGAAGCCTTCAACGCCGCTCTGCTCGGCATTCAGGGAAGTGGTTGGGGCTGGCTGGTCAAGACCGATATGGGCAAAGAGCAGCGGCTGTCTATTGTGACGACCAAGGATCAAGACCCCGTCGTTGGCAAGGGCGAAGTTCCGATCTTCGGTGTTGATATGGTGAGTTGCTGGCTCTTCGACCCTTGAGGCCACAGGCGACTAATTTGACATGCAGTGGGAGCACGCATACTACCTCCAGTACCAGAACGGCAAAGCTGCATATGTCAAAAACATCTGGAATGTCATCAACTGGAAGACGGCGGAAGAGCGTTACCGAGGATCGCGCGCTGATGCCTTCAGCGTGCTCAAGGCTTCTATGTAAGCGGGCGGAGATCTCATATAGGGACAGCGCGAAACAATGTGAATGATATGATGGTTTTGCGATCGCAACTTGACATACATACATACCTTCATTTGAAGAGCACCATGGTGGATCTTAGTGCCCGAGCTTGACCAATCGGGTACTCTTCCGAAACTTGCTCAAAGATACGCATTCACTCTCAGATCTCAAACATTGCAACACATGCCGCTGAAACAGTGCGTAGACTACAAAGACTTTGCATCTTTGCTACCATCGATAATCATTCGCTCGCAATTTCCTACCCCTCGGCGCCGATCGATCTCAGGCTTGACTCCCTACACTCGTATACTTACACACTGCCCATTCACCCAACCTCGTTCTTCCATCGTCATTCTTCTACTGTTGAAAGGCCGAGTTTATATCCCTGTATCCGCCGGGTCTCCTTCACCAGAGTCTAGCAATGTGCAACGGCAGCTCAACGCGCGTCAGCCAAGGAGGCTCGATAGCAGTACTGCGACCAACATCCCACCTAGCACGCACACATCCAGAACAAGAGATGGTTTTATTCTTTACCAACCCACTGTCAAAATGCGGAACCAACGTTGAATGCCAAGGGCTCGACGACGTTTTGCAACAGGATAGCCACCGGTTGGTCATACAGTGAGTTCAGTCCGTCACGGTTGCGACCTTCCACAGGGCTAGCGCAATGCTGACGATGCTATTAGTTGTGACGGTGATCTCTGCTCGTCAACGCAACAAGGTGCATTGGATGCTTTGTACTCTTTTGAAATAGAGTCGCCACAAAGAGGTTTCATGCAACTACCAGAGAAACTGCACCTCGGCGTTGGTGATAAAGGAATTATCGGAAGAAGGATCTCGGTCATGACAGGGTCAACACAGCAACCTTTGACTTTAGCGGAGGGTATTGTAGGATGGAATTGAAAGAGTACCAGTTGTGAACACAGTATATGACCAACGATTTCGTGGGGAAGCATTTGTCAAAGTAAAGCGAGAGCGACAACCAACACACATGACTCTTATGCGCTTCAAAAGAGCCCTGGAACGAGTTTATTGTTGTAAAGACAGTCTTGTGAGATCGAAATGAGATGAGCAGCACGGAAGCGCATGACGCAGAAATACAAGACGAAGCGAATGTCAGATAAGAAACGGAACCAAATGTAATGAAAGAGACGACGCAAGAGCACAAGCCTCCATCAATGAGGCGCATACCAGCCCCACGCCACGAACTGTCGCAGAACACAACACAAGCCGGGCCGCCTGCGGCCATAGGCTGTGATCGAGCATGCTCATAACCCACCACCAACCCCAACTAGTCGTCGCATTCAACGTCGCAACCCCCGCCACTGATACATTTGGGATTATTCTTCTTCTCCGTGCACTTGCATTCCTTTGTGCAGAAAAAGCGAGAGGCTCCGCAGCTATTGATACACACATTCACAGCGCCCTTGCAGCTATCACAAGCTGCTTTGATCTCTTCAGGGGTAAGAGGCGTAGGCGTAGGCGTAGATGCCGCCGTGGATGTTGGCCTTGGAGGACAAGTCGTAATTTCATTGCAAAGCTTACAATGCTTGTCCGAATGTTTTGTGAGACAGTTGCATATGTCGACACAATCGTTATCGAACGGGTCACACTTTTCGAAACATTTACCAAGCTCAACTCGACACATAGCACAGTTGTCAATGGCCGTGGCGGTCGGAGCTAGCGTGGGTGATGGCGTTGCTGAAGATTGGAGAGATTGTGTAGCGGACGAACTGTCAGACTCGAGCGATATGGTGGACAGCTGGGTGGAGCTAGCAATGGAACCGTGCCCGATCCTGGTAGAGGAGGAGTTACTAGTCGAGGATGTGTCGCTGGCTGCGGAAGGTTCGCCGTCTGTGGAAGAGTCGGCAGCAGTGGATGGTTTGCTGACACTCGCGGAAGAAGCCGATATCGTACCGGAGAAGCTGAGGGTGTCAGCCAAGATCTCATGATCAACCGCAGGCAATCTCACCTCGTAGATGTGGCGAATGTAGATGAGAGGGAGCAAAGTCCGTCATCTTGGCGTCTTCCATACTTATCGCGACGCTGTACACACGAAAGCTCGCCGTGAGCCGGGTCACCTCTAGCGAGATTGTAAATGACTTTGATTTTGGAATCGGGAGAGGACCTCGGCCAGGCATGTGACGTAACCAAGCCCTTCGCGCCCCACACACCACCTGGTGGCGCTGCTTCGAAGGTTTGCAAGTTCGGTAAACCATTGTAATACGCGATAAGGCCAGACTGACGTGTTGTTAATGGGAAACCCCAAAAGAGTAGCAATAGGCGGTACGTACAGTTATTGCGGCAGCCTGGCTTGTACCTGGCCCCGTCCACGAATTGACGGCGTCAGTCGGGGCTTCGATGTTGTTCCCAGGGGCGTAGACGTGCACAAGTCCGGTACTGTCGTCGATCATCTGCGGAATGACCAGCCCATCTTCATTCACACCTCCAACGATGATCATACTGTCACCGGGTTTGGATAGTGCGTGTGGCCAATTTTCCTTCACGTCCGATGTGGCTGGAACGTTGCCCGCAGCCACGACGACGGGAGTCTGCTGTTCTTTGCAAAAGTCAAGGAACCTTTGCAATTCCCTTTGCACATTGGCACCACTGGCAGGTGTGAAGCGGCTGAATCTGATGCCTGCAGACTGTTAACTCAATGACACGAAGCAGATTTGGCTGGGAACTTGAGATTCATACCCCATGACATGTTGATGACCGATCTCACCTCAGGCTCCCCAGCCTGTCTCGCCGCCTTCCTTGTGTTGATGTGATCCCTAACATACCTACTCCAATACCGGACAGATGCTTCACTGTGTTGAGTAGTGCTTCTCGACTCTCCGACAGAGTGCTTATATTGGCCTTTGACTTTGACTAAGAATAGATCCGCCTTAGGCGATACGCCGGTGTCGATGCCAGCTGCAAGGCTTGCCATCCTGATAAGAGCTTTAGCGTCCTCTTTCCTGATCGAGTGTGTACCTGCGGATTTTCTTACATGTTTCCGTGTGTGCCGCCCCCAATTGTTTCATCTACGCCACGTCCACTATCCCTGATTTCGCGTGGGATAGTGGCCGTATTCGGCAGAATGTGATGGTCAACCTTCCTTGAGTTTGGCAGAAGGTCCTAGATTGGTCAGATTAGAATATTGATATACAAAGGTACACATACGGGCGTCGCAAGGTCGAAGCCATCATCGAGGACGTATATAGTGGTCCCTGCCCCACCCGTATCGTCGGCCAAGTAGTCAGGATAGTTCTCAGGCCTCAAAGGTACTTCGTCGGGACCAGGAGGGGGTGCAGAGAGCATCTTCTTCCACCAAGGTGCGTTGGATATCGGACTGCCCATGGCTCGTGGGGCATGTGCAAGTGCAGACATAGAATAGGCATTCACCGGATACGGAGCGTTAAGCGACTTTGACGCTTCTGATAGCAACACGGGCTTGGTCTGCACTACACTGAAAGCTCGGCTTTCCTCTGCGAAGTCCTCTAGCTCTTCTTCCGGCACTCCGCCCTCGTTGAGGCCGACCCATTCAATCCAGTCATGCGAGTCGGCTATCTCTGCAGCTTGCGTACTGTTGAGCATGGTGAAGTACATGTAACTGCCAATGCTGTCGAATCTGGCCAAGAATCCCTCACCTCCGTCAAGGGTGTCAATGAGGGTTTTAAAACTTGTCCAAGGCGTGCCATCTTCGGTAGAAATCACGTACTCTCGTTTGAGATCGGCTGTGGGTGTCGGCGTCTCACTACTAGATGACGATGTCTGGCTCGAAGTAACAGCAGAGCTCGCGCTCTGTGTCGTGGAGGCCATGTGTGTAGTCGACTGCAGAGAGGTAGTCTGCGCGGTGGAAGTCCCCTTGGTACTCTGCGTCGAGGCTGTTTCGGTAGGCTTGTCTGTCGCACTAGGCTGCGCTGTCTGACTCGGTACTTCGGCGTCTTCCCAAGGAAAGTCCTGGAAGGCCTCCATGGCAGTTTTGCACTGAGCTAAAGTACCACCAGCCTTTACGAACTCGCTCGCGCCTGACATGACTTTGGATTGGACGTCGGATGATAAGTCGTCAAAGTTCTGAGCTAAGTTCTGCGTCGACTTCATCCAGTTCAAAGACTGACGAGCGAGTTGATGGGCACGGGTGAAGGTGTCGAAAGCACCTTTCGTAAGCTCGTTTCCGGGGAACGACTTCTGAATACCGTTCAAAGAGGAAACAAACTTGCCGGTGTCACCAATGGCTCCTGTAAGTGGACCGGAGATAGCACCAGCTGTCCCTCCAGCAAATGCCACGGCACCTGATGTGACGGCATCCACTCCGCCGATAGCTCCGCCGAGCGCGGATGTCGCACCTTTTGCAATGCCTCCAAGAGCACCGAAAAGGCCACCGACCCCACCACCACCGCCGTCATTGTCATCGTCGTCCTCGTCAGGTGTTGTAGCTTCGGCAGGCTTGGCGCTGATACCCCCAGGGAGCGTGGTCTCGCTGCTCAAGTCCGAGGGTAAGGTCACAGTCTGATCTCCGATGATGATTTTGCCGGCAAAGAGCTGTGCAACGGAGCCATCAAGCAGCATTACTTCGATTGAGTCTTCATGCGAGGAGGGAAGACTGTAGCCAATGCCACCGATGACAGCTTCGAGAGTAGTACCAGATGGAAGAGATGCAGGGGCAGTAGAAGCTTGCGATGGCTGGTTCGAAGACATGGTCCCAACGTTGCTGGTCTGAGGTTGCTGACTGGCAGTGATGACAACTGTGCTTGGTGCACCGTTGGAAGCCGTGATAGTGGTCGTTACAAGACTCGGGGTGGGCGTGGCAGATGTAAGTGACGAAGGTAGCGCAAAGTTCGACGGTGATGGCGCTAGTGTTGAAGAGGTGGAGAGCGAATTCGAGGATTGCGAGCTTTGGAGACCTTGTGAGCTTTGAGAAGCGGATGATCGAGCAGCGGACGAGGGAAACGATGATGGCTGAGGACCAATTGAAAGAGTTGTAGAGGAGGAATTGGGAGCTATCCCACCTGTGGTTGGTGCAACAGTGGGAAGCTGGCTCGTTGCAGTCAGGATGATCGTGCTGGCGTATACGACGCTAGAACCGTTCAAGCTAGGGCGATCAAAAGCGCTCGAAGAGTTGGAAGAGGTTGCTGTCGATGGGATGACGAGAGAGCTCACAAGTACCGGCGCTGTGCCTGAAGACGTGTGAACTCTGGTGGAAGACGTCGTCGATGTGCCAAGAATAGTCGAAAAGGCGGTTCCTAGCGAAGATGCAGGTGCTCCGGATGGAACGATACCGGTGCTGGAAGGATTGGAAGCAGCTGGTTGAAGATCCCTGGGTACCAAACGGTCTTCGTCTGCACATTCATTAGTCATCAGTCATCCAGCAATACATCAGGCCCCACTGACCAAGATCAGGAAGGCCGTAGGGTAGAGATGCGTGAACCCTGCGAAGAATCAGTACGAGAGATAGTGCTTGAAGTAGCTTCATCTCCGTCTTCAGGTCGTGAGTGTGATCTATGGTTGCTGATGATTGTAGTGTGGATTGTAAAGTGTAATGTTTCTGAGGATGCGAGAGATACATTGCCAAACATGGCTCTTATATCTGAGAACTGGACGTATGCTTACCGGTCCACTGCACCCCTTCACCAAGATGAAAGCACTTCGATCGGGGCCACTGAGGGTTTCCACGTCAGAAGCGGTACAGGTCTCAATCCGAGACCCTCGCCGCCGCCGTTGATTAACAATGGTGAGCCGATCGTAAGGGTTCCATGAGGGCGCTACGTCAGGACTGTAGCGTTTCTGGGGGCGATGCAACTAGATATGGAGACGGAGGACCGACACCGTCGCGGTTTTGGTCGAAAGTCTCACACAGTAGGTTTTGCCGCGTCTTCGAAGGCGAGATAATGAGCGATATGCGCCAATGTGGATTGAACGATTGTGTCAGAATGGGTCGAATATGTCGACTGTCTTCATTTCCGAGAGTGTTACAAGAGCTCTGCCGCCTCCTTCTTGACGAACCGATGATTCAATTGATGTGATCGTGCGGCGAGGGGGCCATTCGGTGTATTTGTCACCACTCGACAGTGTCTCTGTGTTATCAGTGAGTTGCTTAAGCGCCGTGACTCTGCACATGTATATGAGAATCCTTCGGATGCGATATCAGCGTATTGATTGACAAGCCAAAGTGCCGCACGTAACCATGCCACCAGATGAGACCCTGCCTACAGTCGCCGGGAGATGGGGCGAAGGACCTTGAAAACAGGAGATCGCCCCAACTGTGAGTGCTGGCTAGAACCTGGTCGTATCGCTTCAAGAGTGGCACGACTTCAAACCTGCGGCGTCGCTGGGGGCGATGTAACCCGATAGAGAGACGCCCAAGCTCTTCACAAAACGGGTAAGCAGAGCCTCGAAGAACGCTTGTTCAAGATCGCTAAAGCTGCCCCACTAACCTGTAAACCACAAAGCTGAAGCCCCGAGGCCAGCTAAGGGGAGTATGCCAAAGATGGGGATAGAGCACGTGACTGTATATGCCACACAACAAGACCTAGACTGTAGTCGCCGAATGATGGGGCGAAGGGTCTTGAACGTACAAGATAGCCCCAACCAGTGCGATGGAAAGGATGATGAGTATGAGAAAGCAGGAAGGCGCGGGAAGGCAGACTGCTGAGCCACAGACGTGCATTTGGGCTAGCGTACCGCCGCAATCAATCTGCAGCATCGCACAACATTGTTGTTCTTGGTGCTGCGTGTCTCAGTTCCAGAATGTCGTTATAATCCTGGAAATAAATTAGCGATGAGGTGGCGTTGGAGCATGTGAACGGGAAGCTGTGCACTCTCGACGATGGCGATGGCATCGGAGGTCGGCAAGTGCATGACGTCGCTGCTGACCTCATCGTGATTGGCTGCATCCTCAGCCAGTGGGCCCGAACGCTTCAACCCACAATCTATGTGGTCATCTCCGCGTCGTCAGCTCTACACATCCGCTCTATCTCACGGCCAAATGTCGCTCATCCAATTGTCACGGAAATAAAGGTCGGAACCGACTCTTCGATCGCTTCCCGTGACTGACCTGGCGACAAAGGCTCCGATCTTACCGCAGCGCCGCAGCGCCGTGATCCTTCGCACCATGTGGACGCCGAGGGTAGAGCATTTAGGCAGAATACAAACGACGCGCTAACATCCCGCTGTGGAGTCTCCACACTCATGGGCTGCCAACTCGAAGAGGCGGGGGCTGGCGGCATGGGCGTCCGCGGACCGGCAGATACGCGCTGTTAATTTATACGACGCGCGGTGGCTGCTCAGTATGACTCTGGATATGCAAGCTGGACGACAAAGCCTGTTACTCTACCAGAAGTTCGGATCTGAATGGCATTCATCTTGAGCAGGTCATCGCAAGACAGAGGCATCAGGTTGAAAAGGCGGTCGGTCTCGTGCCAGCTCCAACACGTAACGATCTCACAAAACGGTCGATTCAGCCGTGATTGCTCAGCATCTGTGCGCCCAAACGCGTTCTCCCCGCGTCGCCTCCACCCTCCGCGACTCTTGTCAATAGTGCGCCCAGCCGTCAGTGGCTTCTAGCCTGCTTCCTCGCGGGACGTTACAAGCAATGAAGCGCCAATGCCAGGACAGCCACCAATGCTTGAATCGCTGCCGCAGCCCGAAATAAGCGTTGGTGCCATGGAGCTTAACCGTCTCTTTATCCGCCATGGGAAAGCTTCGCAGCATCAACCACTCAGCGTGTAGGCCCGTTACCCGAGACAATGGTATGCTGACTTGGGTGGCCGCCCGAGCGAAATGGAAATGCATATGTAGGACTGCATTCCCCATGTCTTCCCTGGTCTTAGGATTCAACTGTCGAGGGCTTCGCGAAAAGCTTACTGAGTAACCCTGCACTCTCGTGCTTCGTCCCATTCTTTGACGATCTTTACTTCGATCTTTCACTTACGAACGCACTCGAATCGTCATCATGGCTCCAGTCGGTGGTGGTGCCGGCGACTTTGAGGTGGCCGCTCTGGCTCGCCGTCAAGCACTCGCAGGTGCATCGGGACCCATGGCCCTGGTAAAAAACGCCAGAGTGTTTGGTATCGCATGCTTTGCCTGCCTGGGTGGACTGTTGTATGGTTACAACCAGGGTGTCTTCTCTGGTGTTCTGACCATGCCCTCCTTCAAGGAACGTAAGTAACGTCTTACCACTACAATGGCAGGCAGGTCACTTACAGATGCTCAGACATGGGCGACTACATCGCGAATCAAGAAACACTTGAATGGAACTCCTCCAAGCAGGGCTGGCTCGTATCCATTCTCGAACTTGGTGCATGGTTCGGAACAATGTACTCTGGATTCATCGCTGAGATCCTCTCCCGTAAATACGCCATTCTCGTCAGCGTCGCCGTCTTCATGGTCGGTGTCGTCGTTCAATGCACTGCTTCCGCCGGTCAAGGCCACAATGCTATTCTCGGTGGCCGTTTCGTTACCGGTATGGGTGTCGGTGCCTTGTCCATGATTGTCCCCATGTACAACGCCGAGATCGCACCTCCCGAAGTCCGAGGTGCGCTAGTGGGTCTTCAGCAATTGAGCATTACCCTGGGTATCATGATCAGTTTCTGGATCGACTACGGCACCAACTACATCGGTGGCACAGGGAGAGACGGACAGAAGGAGGCTGCTTGGCTTCTCCCTCTCGCCCTGCAACTGGCTCCCGCTGTGCTTCTCGGTGCTGGCATGATCTTCATGCCTTTCTCTCCCCGTTGGCTTGTCCATCACGGCCGTGAGGCAGAGGCGCGCCGTGTACTCGCCAATCTTCGTAGCCTTCCCCAGGAGCACGAACTCATCGAGCTTGAGTACGCAGAGATCCGCGCACAAAGTCTCTTCGAGAAGAAGTCTCTGGCCGAGCGATTCCCCCATCTTCAGGACATGAGCGCGTTGTCGGTCTTCAAGCTGCAATTCGTCGCTATTGGCAGTCTCTTCACCACTAGGGGCATGCTCAAGCGTGTCTTGATCTCTACGCTCACCATGTTCTTCCAACAATGGGTATGTGACTACGTGCGGACCGCATATGAAACATGTACTGACTGACGACCCAACGTTTAGACGGGCATCAACGCCATTCTGTACTATGCTCCAAGTATCTTCCAAGACCTTGGGCTGTCGGGCAACTCGATCAATCTCCTCGCCACAGGTGTCGTTGGCATCGTCATGTTCCTCGCAACAAGTGAGTTCCCACCTTAAAGCACCACTTGACGTCCTCGCGCTAACGAATCTACAGTCCCTGCGGTCATGTACGTCGACAAACTGGGTCGTAAGCCCGTACTCGTCAGCGGTGCCATCGGCATGGCAGCCTGTCACTTCATCATCGCCGGTATCTCTGCCAGCTACGAGGACAGTTGGGCCAGCCACCAGGGTGCTGGTTGGGCGGCCTGTGTCTTCGTGTGGCTCTTTGTCATCTTCTTCGGCTACTCATGGGGTCCATGTGCTTGGATCGTCATTGCGGAAATCTGGCCCATGTCTAACCGTCCGTATGGTATCGCCCTCGGTGCTTCGTCCAACTGGATGAACAACTTCATTGTCGGTCAAGTCACCCCGGATATGCTGACGCATCTTCGTTATGGCACCTACATCTTCTTCGGCATCTTTACCGCTATGGGCGCTGCGTTTATCTTCTTCTTCTTCCCTGAGACTAAGGGCGTTTCTCTCGTAAGTTTCCTCACTCGACCATCTGCATGCGTGCTGTTTGCTAACGACCCTCCCAGGAAGAAATGGACACCCTCTTTGGCTCCGCCGGTACCGCAGAGCGCGAGAAAGAGCGCTGGGCCGAGGTCCACCGCGAAGTCGGACTTACCGACCTCCTCGCGCGCTCTGGCCTCGTGCATGATGACGGCGTCGCCGACTTCCACAAGAGTAGCATGGAGAAGGAGAAGCCACAGGTTCTGGAGCAGGCCTAATATATGCTTCAGTAGACCTGTTGAAATGAGTAAACTAGTTGAGTGAGGGGCTATCAGGAACGGACGGCTTGTATATACTCTTTCGCTTAGCAATTCGTTCTATCTTGATATATTGGATCGCAAGCCACAAGGCTAATATTCACCATGAAGTGAAATCTTTCCTCCTCGTAGTTTGCCTCGCGACCTTGGCCTCACCCCCACCAAGCCTCGCAACAGTCGTGACCACCGGTTTCTTCGGCACCTCCTTCCTCGCCCCAACACCCCGCTTCCCGTTCTCCCGCTCTACTCTCTCCCTCTCCGCTTCCTCAACAGTCTGCTCCTTGATTCTCATAGCGACCTCTTCCCACACGCCCGGCACACCCGTCTTCATCGTGTACAACCGCCCTTCTTTAACGTAGAACTTGAAGCGTGGTTCACTCATGACTTCCAGCATGCGCTTGAAAATACCCTTTTCCCTCTGCCTCTTAACCCACGCCTCGCTCTTCGGTAACTCGATGTTTGCTAAACGCAGTTTTTTCGGCGGCAAAGCGCGGAGCTCGTGCAGGAAAGCAGTGGTGTGTTTGCGGAAGGGGAAGATTCGCAAAGTCACGAATTCGAGTTTTGTGTTTGCGGTGGCGACGGTGTTTTGACGGAGGCTCCTGGCGAAACGGAGGAGTTCGGGCCGGGAGCGGCGCGCGTAGTTGGCGGTGGTGGGGATTTGGAGGAAGACTTGGTGGACGAAGGGGGCGGTTAGGTAGGCGAGGGTTAGGGTGGGGATGGTACCGAGGATGCCGACTGGGGGTTGTTAGATCTCTTGCAACACCAAATAGCTGAATACAAAATACGTGTGGCTTTTGATTGTCTTAGATCTGAGATGAGGTTGCGGTTGAAGGAGTATGGAAGGGAACATCATGCCGCCACCACGTGATAAGTGCTGTTCCGGACCTGCGCCAGATGGGCCGGACAAATCAGGGACGTAGAAGATATATGCCCACGTATGATGAGACCAGACCTAGAGCGAATCGATGTGACGAGAGAGCGGAATAGGTTCGGTGCATTTGGCAAGAAAAGTGGTGTAGATGAAGAGATTCGGTTCATGATAGTTGACCAGGCATTAACAAAGTTCACTTACCGGTTATGGCCTGCATCTTCCGTACTCTCTCATCAGGTTGATTCTCGTTGTTCCATAGTGGAGGCACACCGAAGACAAGAGTTGTGCCAAATTGCAACAAGGCCATTGCTTTCCAGAAGGATATCCATGTCGTTCTGGCGTCGCCCGCATCGTAGATCAGCAGTCTTGACGCATACACTGGAAATCTTCGTTAACGATGGTCGCTTCTTGTTCGTCGTCCGACTACGTTCGAGTCATAACATACTCTTCTCATTCTCTTTTCTGACTGGTTCGGGTGCCGACTTAGGCTTCTTTCCCCTTTGTAATGGTAATGTGGGATCTCTGCGTATTGTGGTGAATTTTCGTTGGCAACTCCGGCAGATGTATCCATTGAGGCGAGCTTGAGCGACAAATCGTGTGCCTCTAAGTGTGGGCGCTGTGCTTCGAAAAGCGGCCGCAAAGGCGAGAAGCCGTGGCTGCATGCTGTCTGCAGTCAACAGCCGTGAAGAAAATTGCACACGTGTGTGGGCTTCGTCAGGCCTCGATGCGCTGGATCCGTTCGCTGCGCGACCGCGAGGCTTGGACGCTGAATATCCGATGTAGCGGGAGGCTTACTCAGCAATGAAGCCGTACACATGTAGGGGCGTGGATGGGCTGCGATGGTGCTTGTTGAGATGTCACGGTGTCACGTGGGATGATCGGCTTGCCGCGGCAACTCTAGCCGAAGCGGGTCAAGCTCATGTGCGGAGAGATGCCACGGTTCCCTCGACCAGCGACAAGCGGCCCACTCAACGACCGGCGCCGTCATGCTCCTTTCTCGGTTGTAAGCTATCTGTTGCAGTGTTTTAACGTCGTTGCGTGCGCTTCATGTGATCAGTCGAGAGCATGTTGTTCGCATTTGCGCTGCTGTCGCTCGTTTCCTTCTTGTCCCTCGGATACGCCTACCAGGGCCTCAGCGACCATACACTCAAGCACCTGCCGGGACCGGGCGATGACTTCGACATAAAGAAAGGCTCTTTGCTGGCGCCAATCCTGGTACCCAGAGTCTCTGGAACCGAAGGCAATGTCGCCGTACGCCAACATTTCCTAGACTTCTTCAAGTCGCAATTACCGGAATGGAGGCTGGAAATGCACAACTCGACGTCGACGACGCCCGTGAGCAAGGGCAAGGAGGTCCCTTTCGTGAACATCATTGCGACACGAGATCCGCCGGGTAGCTCCGAGGGCGACGTCTCGAGATTGGCTCTCGTGGCCCACTACGACAGCAAGTACACGCCGACTGGCTTCATTGGGGCGACCGACAGCGCGGCCCCATGCGCCATGATCCTGCATATAGCGCGCAGCATCGATGCGGCGCTGACGAAGAAGTGGGCGGCGGCCGACCCCGACGATTTCGACGTGGAGCACAAGGGTGTGCAAATACTCTTGCTGGACGGCGAGGAGGCGTTCAAGAGCTGGACTGACAGCGACAGTCTCTACGGCGCGCGGTATGCCTCACCTTATCTTTCTTGGCCATCACTTACTGACGCATAACAGAGCCCTCGCTGAAGACTGGGAGTCGACTTTCCACGTCGCATCATCGATATACCGCACCCCGCTCGATTCGATCGACCTATTCCTGCTACTTGACCTTCTGGGCTCCAAGGGTCCAAAGGTCCCCTCATACTTCAAGACGACACATTGGGCATATAAGCACATGGCGACTGCCGAGGCACGCTTGCGCAAGCTAGGCTTAATGAAGTCGTCCCCAAACCACGAGCCGAAGATGGCAAAGCGCGAGAACAAGAAGCCTCGCGACGAACGTCCGTTTCTGCCCGACGCGAACAAAGGGAATGATCAGTTTATGGGCGGCTTCGTACAGGACGATCACGTTCCGTTCATGGCCCGCGGCGTCGAGATTCTGCACATGATCCCTACGCCCTTCCCGCATGTATGGCACACGATTGAAGACGACGGAGAGCACTTGGATATGGATACAGTCGAAGACTGGACGAAGCTGGTCATGGCATTCACTGCAGAGTGGATGGAGCTAGAGGGCTTTTTCGACTTCAAGGCAGAGAAGCGGAAGATGGATGGCGAGAAGTCGGAACTGTAAGCATTTTCCCATCAACTTGAATGCATGTAAGTTAACGTACCGTAGTGAGATACCCTAGACCCTACGAATGAATTGTTTCGAATGCATAATCGAGCTGTGCAGCGCATTGTGACACATTTTGAACGACTCGACACTACGCTTGGTGATGCTTACAGAGACAAAGCCAAGTCATGTTCACAAAGCAGACCTCTCGCATGTCTTTGACCCGTGACTCGTTAAAGACAGTAGCTTGGCCAATACATGTGATCTCTTGAAGTTGCATTCATAGCAATGTCTCGAGCATCACTTCCGCATTCATCTCACACTGTATACGCTTCTAGTAACCAATGCTCGTTTTCTGGAATACTAGCATTTACCCATTTACTAACATTGCACTTGACACTACACAACCGCCACCACGATGCCAAAAGGCAAAGCCAAGAGGCGTAACACGCGACCGTACCACGGCTCTGCAGAGCCGTATGAGACCCACCAAGGCTCATCACACAGACGTGGCGGTACGCACAAAGTACGCGATGAGAACAAGACTGACTCCGTCTACGACAACTTGAACTACAAAGAGCTAGTCGAAACAGCAAAGGAGCGCAGTATCTACCGCAAGGATATGAAGAAAGTAGAGATGGCTTGGGCCTTGAAACACGACGATGAGAATCGAAAGCGTGCTGAACAGGACGCCCGTATTGCTCGGCAAAGGAAGCTGGAGGAGGCAAAGAAGGAAGAGGAGAGAAAGGCTGCGGAGAAGAAGGCCCAGCTCATTGCTAAGCAAAAGAAAAGAAGAGAGAAAGAGGAGAGGAGAGAGCGTGACGAAAGCGTCAGTGACGACACTGTGAGTGATGCCGACTTGGAAGACGACGAAGACGCAGGGGACGAGTACAATCGCGAGAGATTCGGTCAGGCGCTCAGTGAGGAATCGTGGGATAGCAGTTCTTCAGAGTCAAGTGCTGCATCCGTAAACCAGATCTACGAGCCTGGATGCAGACTTCGTCTCTGCGAATGGCCCAACCAAAACATGCCATCAGTCAAACCTGGAGGTTGGGATTACAAAAGATGGTGTCCGCTGCCCTTGCCCTGTCCCGTTCCTTATGCACCTCTCAAGATTACAACGATGTATAGCAAGCAAAAGCTCATGTTGCCCGGAGCAAAGTACCCACCGGGTGTCGATCCTGACTTCGTTCCCATTCTCAACCCCTTGGTCCGATCCGGGGCACGCAACGGTCATCTCCTTGGCCCACTCCGCAAAGCCAGCATCGAGAGAGGTACAGATTGGGCGCAACGCACGCTCATCCAGGGCTGCAATGGACACATGTACTTCCACCTCGGTTCGCGAAACGAGACCAAGGTCCTAGCCGACACCTACAACAAGTGGTATCTCGAAAACAGGAAGCTGCTGCGCGTCAAGGGAAAAAGTAATGGTGACCCTAGTGATCGCGCTGCACGCCATGCTCAGCGGCAGAGGAATAAGGCGAAGATGACGGCGGAGGTGTATGAGGCGTCGCAGTATCGGCCGTTGGCTATGTGTTATGTGCCTGCTTATTTGAAGTATGGTGAGCCGGTTCAAGATAGTTTGGGGAAGCAAAGCTTGGAGAACTTGTTCTTTGTTAGGTTTCCTGGGTGCGATGTACCACATTATTACTTCTGGGTTAGGGAGGGGGAGTGGGGGGATCCTACGGAGGCGAATCCAGGGTGGAATCCTCAAGCGTGGACAGACAAGGGTGCTATGCGCATGGAAGAGAACGAGACCGGAGGGGAAGATTCGAGGAATGGTCGGCTTACTAGAACGCAGTTGGTGCGCGTCCGCAAAACATCCGTTGACCTTCCACCCTCTCCACCCTTCTCGAATCCAACAAGCATCACCGAGACCATCGCACACGTCGAGCACCAAATCTACCGCGACGGCCTTTCCGAGACCCTCGCGCGCTACCGACAGAAGTGGGCTGAGAACGGGAAGCAGCGAGCCTGGAACACCTTCGCTGCAGCGTTACCAAAGCTGTGGCCCAGTGGCGAGATACCAAGAGTTCCGCCCGTATATAGCGAACCTGGCGTGAAGCTCTCGGTAAAGCTGGCTACTATCGATTGCATGAAGGAATATGGTGAAACGCCGTTTAGTCCGTTGAATGGTACTGAGGCGTGGACGAGGGATGATGACAGGGTATGGGATGTTGTGGAGGTTGGTGTCGAGGAAGACCCCGTGTCGCCTGCCGCTTCAATTGAAGAAGAAGACGATGACAATGACGATGCTGGGGGTAAGGATGGAGAAGAAGGGACTGGTGATTCAGGGGAGGACGACAGCCACGATATAGACGATGAGGCGTTGTATCGCCGTAATAGCCTGGTTTCCGTTCTGGATTTCACCTTTTCAGATTCAGTTGTGGCATGGTTGGAAGAAGTTAAGAATAGTTCTGCGGTGTCGCCTACACCGAGCGAACCGCTTGATTAAGAGACGGAGCTACGCGAGTGGGAGGAAAGGCACCTGCGGGGTAGCAACAACTTGGGCGGTGGTCTTGCGGTCGTCGACGGCTCGTGCTCGTTCTGCGGCACACTATAGACATATCTTAAAGCACAACAAAGTAGACATTAAGTACTATGCAACGTAAAACAGCTAAATAATGTATTTATATTAAGTAAGAAGTAGTTAAGATAGAGTATAAATATAATATGTAGCTATAATATTTACTTTGTATCTTTATATAGTAATATTATACTCTCTAGACCTAAGAGATAGTGTTACAATCTAACCCAAGGAGTACTCTAGGGGTCAGCGTAATTACTTTGAAGGATCGTGCGGCATAGTTATAGGAGTGCGGCACGGGAACTGCGCTGTAGTTACGTAACTGCTTGTCTATAAGCAGGGCGACGCTAGTTCTATATAAGCGCTTGTCTACGAGCATAAGTAGTTAGACTAATAACTAGCAAGATGTATTACTACTTGTCTATAATTACTTATACGCTTGTCTACGAGCGCAATACTTATTAAGTATATAGCTTAGGTACTAAACTCTTATAGCTTAGTGTATTTAACTTTGTATAAGACTCTAGTATTTAATCTAAGAATTATACTTCTTTCTTAACCTCTTGTAATATTATATTATTCTACTAAACGTGCTATTATACCCTTATACTATTATATTATTCTACTAAACGTGCTATTATACCCTTATACTATTATATTATTCTACTAAACGTGCTAGTATAACTACCCTATTCGGCGCACTCGCTTATACCCTAAGAACTAACTCTTAGGTTATCTTAGAACGACTTTTACACTTTAAATACCTTTAAGATAAGTAATACTACAATAGACACCTTTGCTAATTCCTACGTCTCTAGAGCCCTTGTTTAAGGTAATAAGCCTAATATCTACTATAGTAATCGCAATAAACTTAAAGTATAGCTACTCTAGCTAGACTAATACTTCTACCTTAAAGGAGATAGGGTTAAGAATAATAATAAGGTTGTCTTAGCTACTACTTATCTTAAAGAAGATGCTAAGAAGTAGTCTATTCTAATTATTCGCTGTTATATAGATAACTCTATTAGAGACGCTAATAATATTGCTCTAGTTAAGAACTAGAATGCCTTTAAGACGAAGATGCGCGAAGTCTTCTTACTCTATTAAGAAAAGGTAATCGCGGAGTAGAAGATATAATAACTGCGCTAGACGTAGTCTGCCGCTAATTACACTACCTAATTCTAGCAGTACGAGGTAGCTATTAACTAGAACAATAACGCTTTAATACAGATGTATAAGCAAGGTCTTAAGCCCTAAGTGCGATAAGAACTTATAAGAAGTAGAGGAGAAGTTACTACGCTTTAGAAGCTTAAGAATAAAGCTATCTATATTAACAACAAACTCTATAGACTAAAGTTAGAAGAATAACTATTTGCGCAGAGAATACAAGCACTAGAGAACGCAAACAGAAACGCCTAGGTTTACTCTAAACCTTGCTGTTCGTACTCTAACTAAGAACGTTAACAAAGCTATACACCTAGGATTCTAAGGTTGTACGCTACTAATAGCTACGAACCTATGCACCTTAACAATCTTAATAAGGGACCTAGACAACCTAAGTTTTATAATAAAAAGTAGAAGAAGAAGAACTTTAACTGCTATGCCTATAGTAAACTAGATTATATAGTAAGAGAATGCAAGAGCTAAGGCAAGATAGTACGATATCTAAATGTTCTATAACCTACAAACCTAAACGACTAGAGAGCTGTATAGGCTATTAACTACTATTCTTAACGCTAGCAGCTATAAAGCTTAACTAGCAGACTAAGTAACATGTCTATTATAACCCCTAACGAGACTACCTAAGAAGATGTCTCTTTAGACGAAGACAGCACCTCTAAAGAAGAATCTAAGAAACCTATAGAGGTTACGGAAATTAACTAGACTAAGTTTAGAAAGATAGAGCTATTTAAGAATAATAACAGACTATCTATATTATATATTTAAGAAGACTAGATAGTCTAACTCTTGTTATAAATTAACTAGCTGCTATAACATCTTAATAAACCCGATATTAAGTATACCTACGAGACCCTAGATATTATAGCTAAAATGCGAGAGAACTATTATTACCTCTTCTAACGAGCAATAGAAGATAAGGAAAATCTTCTACTATATATTATTAACATTATTTCTACTCTTAAATAACTAGACTAGGTCTAGTGAGCTGTTAAGAATTACGAGGACCCTACAATTAGTAACAACAAGGTTATTATCTAATGCCCTAAAGAATTAGACTTTAAGATTAACACGCTACTCGCATACCTAGAAAGACCTCTAAAAGAACTCTCTGATTTAGAGAACTTCTTTAAGAAATTTAAAAAGTTTAATAAATACTAGGATCTTCTAGAGGAACTTAAGAAGATAGGCTATAATAGCAAGAAGATATGCAAATAGACTATAAACGCTACAGCGTTATAGAAGGACTAACCTACGCATTATCTCTCTAATATAGAACGAGAGGAAGCTAAGACAGCACCTCTAAAGTCTA